AATCGACAATTTTTAGAAACCATTTTTGTTGATCAAAAAAGTGACAAGAGTAAGAATGAAATAAAAAGATTATATCAACGCGCAAAAATATTGTTTGATTTTGTCGCACCTCAAGAATATGGTATTGAAAATAAAGATAAACTCTTGATCGGAATTTTATTATCAGATTCGTTGTTAAAGAGTATCATAGAAAATTTAGAGGTATTTAAAGTTAACCCCTTTAAATTTTTATAATATAACTTATAATTACTAATATTACTGGTAATATTTTTTTCAGGAATCTAAATCAAGTTTAAATCCATGCACAAGATTATATTTTACAAAAGGTGAACATTATATAAATTTGATTTTTCAAGAATATGATAATAAATACTAATGCATCTGTAATTTTGTTGTCACCAGAATCTCATGTACATACTCTTCTAAATGTTGTGTTTTTATCTGGTCTTCCCACAAGGATTCCCAGGAAAGATGTTCCAGAACTTGATTGTAAATAATAAAGAATTATATTTTATGGAATGGCAAATATCAGTGTATTATAGGGTAAATTTTTCATGTAGTATTAGTTGCATATCTATTCAACCTGGTTGTTATAAGAAATAAAAGTCATAATGTGAGAAGGAGTCGATTTAATAATATTATGATAATTTATAATGAGCTGATATTTGCCAGTATCCTTCTTTATTTATATCAATGAATAGCTAACAATTTATCTAACAAATTGATTATAAAGATCTCACCCAAATAACATTTGAACTCTATGAACGTCAACGCGGTTTGCCCGGCGATAAGGAATATTCTTTGCGTGTGGCATTTAGTCCTGGAGCTCATGATCCAAATATCTTGGATTTACAATTAGATGCTCGACATTGCTTGATCGTAGCGCCAAGAAAGTGAGTTTATCAAATGTGTACACTTATTTGTTTCATTTTTCATACTCATATTAAATACTTGTCTTTTATCACATTTAGAAATCTTACCGATCATTTACCCTTGGACGAGGCACTCTCTTATTATAAAACTATAGTATATAACTCACCCGCAAGTGTTATTTCGGGGCCAGTTAAACAGAATGTTCAAGAGTCGCTTTCGTCATCTCCTTTCTTTGATGTATTTCAATTTAGTAAATCTTTTTAAGTTTATTAATGTTTATTGTAAAACTTTTAATTTTCGCTTTGTTAATTAACTTTAGTTAATATTATAAGCTTACAAATATTACATGTAATTTGTATTTATATCTTTGTATTACTTGAATTATGCCATATAACTTATAATCAATTTATGACTAAAAAAAAAAATAAAAATTTAAATCAGCATTTGTGTAAATTCTTGATTTTTGGATATTACACTTAATGGGATATGAATTTTCAGTTCCGATTTCATGATAATATCAAAAGTAACTTTTCGAATAATCAAAATATGTATATGATGATTGGTATTGACACAAATTAACTTTATAATCTTGAGTTTTGTATTTTATATTTGAAAGAAAAAATATTTTAATAAGACTTTAATAATTTATGTTTTTGGTCGATTTTTTGATAAGTACATTACGATTAAAGAAATTAGTCGTTTCTTTTTATCTTTCGAAAAGAAATATGTAAGACATTAATTTATGGATGTTAAATTTTAAGTATTATAGGCATTAAAAAAATATTAATTTATTAAGAAGAAACTATTGCGAAACGATGAAAGACGAAACCTGATCACTCGAAAGAAGAAAATGATGAAACTATCGCGAAAAAACGGAACTCCTGGCGAAAGACGAAACCTCTGACGAAAGACGAAACACTTGACAAAAGACAAAGCCTGAAATCCTTTCGAACTAAAATCAAAAACGATGAAAGATAAAGAGCTGTGTTATAGTATTCGGCGAAATCATATTAACCCTAGAATAAAGCTACCCGAAACTAGTTTCGGAAAGGTTCTAATCCGAAACTAGTTCGGATTTTTTTAAAAAAAATCGAAACTCCGTAACCCCGAAACCATAAAAATCAAATTTATACTGAGTGCCCTAGTTTCTCCCCCCAACTTCACTATCGAAATTAGAGATGGGCAAATTTATTATTTAATATTATAATACTGTATCAGATATCGCGTTTACCTCAAAAAACGCGCATTTGCAGATCTCAACAAGCAAAATAATAGATACGTATCAATGAAAAAAGTTATATAATGATCTATTTTTTCTCATGCGCTTCTCAAAACTTTCACTTCTTTTTTTACATCTATCACATTATTACAATAATGCTTTTTATTTAACATATACTTGTTTAAAATAATTTTTTATTACGCGATACACTTTTAATTTAAAGGTGAGTAACGATTTGCTCACGTTAATATATTAACTTGAAATCCTTGGATCACCGCTTCTAGGCTATACCTTCGACAGCAGAAAATTGGGTGAATACACGTGGTCACCTAACTACTGCTGCGTGTTGACATGCGACTTTTCGGAGTACTAAGATCATATCAATTACTCAACTTTTTTTTTTTTTTTAGAAATATATCTTCATTAATCTAGTGTCAATAAAAAATTTAATCTCTTATCTATTATAGATCTATTGTACATATTGTTACTTTTAATAAAAACTTTTTAAATAAAGTATAATTGATTTTAAAAGTTATTTGTAATTTATAATGTAACAATTAATTCTTTTAATTGATAAGTAAAGTAAATAAATTTGTAACTCCAATTTGAAATTATTTAAAAACGTTAAGAAATGAATAAACTAGAGATGGTAAAAATGATTATGTTTTAATACAATGTTTGTGATTATTGCGCTAGTGGTTGAAATTACCACTATGATTTGCTGGGATCTTTGCTAGGAAAATGACCCTTCGAGTAGAGTGGTTTGCGCAAAAATTTCTTAATAGCATGCTAGTGGTATGCCATTAATATTTTTTGGCACATAGCATGCTATATAGTGCACCATTTATATAATTTTTAATGAATTTTAACTCTTTGTTCAATAAAAGATGTTATCTTTTACTCTGTTATTGCCCACCTAGTAGCACCAGCGATTTTCACCTAGACCGATACTAAGCGGCTGACCAATAGCTTATATTGGATTTTTACATATGCTGGCGATACTAATTCTTAATGCCGGCCTAACTAATTTTTAATGCTGGCCACTAATTCTTAAGCCAGCCTAACTGCCGGGCCAAACTAATTCTTAATGTCGGCCTAACTAATTCTTAAATGCCGGAATAACCAATTCTTAATGCCGAACTAACTAATTCTTAATACCAGGTAGGGTTGTTATAACTTACCTGACAACGTAACTTACAATGTAAGTTACATTGTAAGTTACATTACCTGTGTAAGTTATTTGTAAGTTAAGTAGTGTTGTTATAACTTACCTGACAACGTAACTTACAATGTATTATTTGTAGGTTAAGATTAAAGCGGGCCAGCATTAAGAAGTATGGCTAGCATTAAGTCAAGAGGCCAGAATCTAGAAGACTCCGAAATGTTAATGAACACAAAAGACGAGCAAGGTTTTAAAAAATTTGTGAAGAGTACTCCGAAAGAAGGAAAAAAAGGAAAAGGGTAACTTACATACAACTTACGTAAGTTAAAAGTAAACTTACGTAAGTTTCAAAAATTTTGTAAGTTATAACAACCCTATGGTTAGGTAATTTACCGGACAAGACTGGGATATTTCGGGTAGCGGGAAAATTATCAGGTATTCCAGGAATTATGATAATAGCAGTTGCATGGCCATTTGCTTATTTATATTTTAAATAGCTTTTACCATATTGATTTTTTTTTTTTTTTTAAATTAAAAAGTAGCCAAATTTCGATAATATGAGTGATAAATTTTGTCCTACTTTTTCTGTTATTTAATTTGTCTTTATCCTTCATAAAACCTCTTTTTCAATATTTAATTTTTTTAGAACAAAATTTTGATAATAAGAATGATAAATTTTTTGTTCTAATTTTTTATTATTCAATTTAAGACTCACTCCAATTATTAAGACAATAAAAAGAATTCATTCGGTATATAATTGAAATTAATTAATAATACATCTGAAAATGTGAAGTATATTTAATGTTATTAAAAATAAAATAAGATAAATATAATACGTAACATCAAATTCTATTTTCTTTTATCTGAATCACTTCAATTATTAATTCTACACCGTTGTCAGCCCCACAATCAGAATTTTCTGGCCATTCACATCTTAATTTTTCCGTACTCCATTGCAAACCATCGGGGCAAGGCATCACATATGGATAACCATTAGAGCACTGAATGTATGAAGAACAATCATCTGGATTAGCATAAAGTCCATTAGGGTTATTTTCATCATTTTCCTCTGGGCAAGTAAAACCTAAATTAAAATTTTACATATTTTAAAAAAAAAATAATTGGTTAAGGCTATAAATTATAATCAATGTCTAAAATTGAGTTGCGGGCATGGCGCAAAAAAATTTTAAATTTTCACAATTAAAACCTAAAGTTTGCGGTTTATGCATACGTATAAATTTTGAAAATTTTGTATATAAATTTGGTTATACATTTATAACGCAACCAAATTTCGTTATCCCGCAAGTTGATTTTTTATTTTTATTTTTTATTAAGTTGCGAGCCCGCAACAAAATTTAAATTTGAATTTCAGACACTGATTATATAATTAAAAGTTTTTTATAAAAATTATTGTTGTTATTACCAACTCCAAAGTTTATCCTAAATTTTGTATTTAATGCTTTTATATATTTTCAACAAATACAGTATTATAATTATTAAAACATACCACTAAAAAAATATATCATATTATAATAATCATCCTTACCAATACCAAAAACGAAAATAGTATATAGTGACATTATAATCAACAGAATGATTATTGGTTTTCTGATGAATTTCATCATGTTGGGAATTTATTATTTAGATTTTATTATTTGACGGATTTTTTATACGTAAACGCAACGCATCCACCTGATCGTTACACTTGATCTTGAATTTTGATTGGTCGTGCGTTAAAACCACCACAGGTGCGTTTATAATAGGGTTCAGGGCACGAGTAAAAAATTTGGCTATGCATGCCATTAGGTCAAGGCATGCCTCTCATGCCCAAACTACCCCAGCGTACCCAGTAAAAAAATGCGGACACGTGACTGATCGACAAAAATTGACCAATAAATTTGTTTATTATTACCGTTACTGTAATGCTAAAATACCTTGTTCGCTA